ACGGCTATGAAAGAGTATGTTTGCTCCTCTTATTGACCAGTAGAGGGAAGCACGGACCAGTTTAAATCATTCCTGTCAAGTACATCATTATCCATGCAGTAGGGCTGCTTGATGAAGATTGAACTCTGTCTCTGTCAATTTTTTTTTTTTTGTGGAAACTGATCTGTCAGTTCAATTCCAAGTCCAGATTCCGTATAAATATCCAAAAGTTTCCATTAGGTTTCCCCCCCCCCCCTTTTTTTTCCCTCTAGTGCGTATCACTAGAGAATAAATCATGACTTAGACTTAAATTAATTCATTGCATGTTTTTTTTTTTTCGTTTATACTGTCAAACACCATCAAAGTTTTGTAGCTTAAGTAAATCCATAAACTCTGTCAGACCACTGTAAATAATGAAAATCTTGGCCTCAGTTGCATTTACTCTTTTAAAATTCAGTTTGGAGTATTACAGAGTGAAATCGGCCTTGAATTTCCCTCCTTTTATTTTTAGCATATGACCTGTTGGAAGAGTTTGGCTTGTCCGAGTCTAGAGGGGTGAGAAGGGTCAATGGGTCTGAGCCTGACGCGGTGGCGTACCGTGTTAACCCGTCTCTCCACCTCAAGAAGAGCACGAGGTATTTATATCGTCCTTCTGACATAATACTTTTCCACTCTTTCTGCTTTTCCACTGAGCGTAATCATGCTCGCCTCCAAACAATATCTCTCATTTCCTGCTCCTGCTTCCCAGAATCTTCCACTACTATAATCTGGGGTTTGATTTGAATTGTATCAGATATATGCTCACACGTTATATAGCATGGATACACAGAGCTGTCTGTTCCTAAACAGCACAGTCATTGCCCTGAAATGTTGGCATTATATGCTCGTGGCTTTCTCAAGCATCAGCAGCTGTTCCTGCGTGTCAGCTGTGGGTACGGCATGTACTGGGTCTTTCCTTTTGTGCGTGTGGGCCAACAATGCTGTCCGCAACTACCTCCCACTAACATCCCCTACTTGACCAAATAATCATGAGAAGTACATGACTGTAAAACAGCCACCAAATGTCGATGCAAAATGTGATCAACAACATCAAAAGAGAAAACGAGAGAGCTGTAGAACCACAATGAACACTGATCTTGAAAACATTAACTACTAATTTCAACAAACTGGTTCTCTTTAAAAACAAACAGGAGCAGAAAATTGAATTGGAAACAATTGGAGACCATTTGGTTTAGATTAATGCAAAACTTCACATAAGGTCACTGCGAAAGACCACTGAAAACGTACCAATATGTTTCAAGCTATTACCATGTTTATTAGCATGGTAACCATCCAGTACTGTACCTAAATATATATCAAAGTACCATGGTGTTTTGATACGTGTTTGTGAGTTTTACTGTGCACTAGTGTTGGGGATTTTTCAGTGGGTAGGCGGGTCTTAATGAGTGAATTAGTGAATCATTCACACCACTACTTTGTTTTGTTTGGAGATGTTCACTAGTTGATTCTTCTTTGGCTTTGTTTGCACTGAAATATCCATTTTATTAATTTCTCTTTTCCCTGTGAACTGCACATATGCTCTCACCCATCTCTCCATCCAGCAACATCTACCCGGGCGGTCTGCCATCTGACTACTCTGTCATCGCCACCTTTAAAGTGCCCAAAGACACTGCTAAAACATCCTGGAATCTGTGGCAAGTCAGTGATCCTGAAGGCCGGGACCAGGTGGGCCTTCGTTTTCAGGGCGACACTAAAACCCTGGACTTCTTCTACACCAGCCCGCAAGGCACACAGATGCTGCGGACCTTTCAGAGGGTGAAAAAACTCTTTGACGGTGAGTGGCACAAGCTGGCATTGAGTGTAAAAGGAGAGCAGGTGAAGCTGCTGGTGGACTGTGAGGAGGTCAGCGTGGAGCCTCTGGATGAGCCGCGGCCTGTGATCCGTCAAGGTTTTACCTCCATCGTCAAGAGGGCAGTAGGTGACCGCTCTGTTTCGGTGAGTACCAGGGACAAGCACGAGTATTGGTTTACCAGGATCAGGTTGAGGGGAAATCCTGTCATTATTTACTCACCATTCATCCATTCAATTCAGGTGTACGCAAAAGGACTTTTTTTTTTTTAGATTTATTTGTGGCATTTTTGCCTTTATTATGAAAGGACACCATGTTGACAGGAAGTGAAGTTGGAGAGAGAGAGAGAGAGAGAGAAGGGGGTGGGGGATCGGAAAAGGTCAGCGAATCAGAATTCGAACTTGGGACACCTGAAGTGCAACAGCGCTATATAAAAGGACATATATTCGAGAGAAAAAAAACTATTTTCAATTCAATTTTATTTAAGCGATGGGCGATTTACTGGTCTTCTGACCTATTGCTAAGTTTGCAAATGAGTAGCAAATGAGATTTGTGAAAGGCTTTCAGAGTTGCTTTTATAGATGACCTGCTTCTTCATTAAATGAAGTGTAGTAAATACTATTAATGAAATCACAGATAAATATATAAATCATATAATTTAAATAAACTTTAGTTCAAGTATATTTTCCAAGTATGCTGTATGTTCAAAGTACACTAGTAGTATACGTAAGTGTACTATTTTAATATTTATTGAGACTAAATTGGCCAACTTTTTAGTTTATAAACATATTAATGCTGTCAGATGATTAATCGCATCCAAAATCAAAGTTTTTGTTTACATAATATATGTGTGTGTACTGTGTGTATTTATTATGTATGTATAAATACACACACATGCATGTATATATTTAAGAAAAATATGGTTTGTTTATATATAAAATATATACATGTATGGTTGTGTATTTATATACACATAATAAATATACACAGTACACACACATATTTTATGTAAACAAAAATGTCTTTTATTTTGGATGCGATTAATCGCGATTAATCGTTTGGCAGCACTAAAACATATACATTTAATTGTAACAGGAGTAGACTTTGAGTACACAACTAGTTTACGTCAAAACATTTTATTTCCTATTGCAACTATACAAGTGAACTTATAAGGTATACTGTTCATACTGTAATTGCAGTTTACTCGTAAATAATCGTAAATAAAATCAACCAAATGTACACTATAAAAATAGTAAACACAAGCCAAGTATACTTAAAATACTTAATTATACTTAGTATATCTTGATCACAAAAGGCTGAGTACAGGTATAGGTCAAATATACTTTGACCTTTTTGTATACTAGTGTGAAGCCAAGTCAATATAAGCCAAGCACACTTAAGTATAAATTTAAATATATATCTGAAAGTAGACAATGTATACTCTCTTATTTTTAGTTTAAAAGAAGTATACTAATAGCACACTTGAATAAGCTTCTTTTTTTGCAAAGGCATTCTAAGTAAAATAACATTGATAGGCTATACATTGAACCTCTGTGCTTGTGCAGCTGGATCTGCAAAAGATGGAGGTCTCCTGCGATGCTGATCAAGCTTACTCTGAAGGCTGCTGTGAACTCTCCAGTGTGGTGAGTCAGCTGCCCAGTGTGTGTGGGCTCTTGTCCCCTTCTGCATGTGCTTTCAGCTGATCGTCGACCTGTTCTCATCAGCTTGTTCCTCAACAGTGCGGAGGATATGCTGAGATTGGTTTAACTGCAGGAAGAGGAAGAGCCACTTGTAAATGCGTACACGGACAGCCGGGTGTCCAGGGACGCCCAGGACCCAAGGTGGCCAAAGTCAAAGTTCACTCTTCCTAAACAACAACCCTTTGTTATGTAATCTCTACAAGTGTATCCTTCTTCCGTAGGGTCACAGAGGCCTGCCAGGAAATCCGGGAGATCCAGGCAGAGTGGGAAACTGGGTAAGAGTTCTGTCTGAAATCTCTCACCGTAATGTGGGACACTGCAGTATTTGAGTTGGACAAACAACAAGCACTAGTCAATGGTCATTAGGGTTTGATAAGAGGGTTTTAATGGACAAACATGCATAGTCAGGAATGAAAGCAAGCAGAGAGGATTGAAAGGAGAGAGGGAATTAACCTGGAATAGATCCTGCCTGTGAAGTGAAGCTGTGGAAAATGGAAGTAGAAGCATTACTGAAGTACAGCATGATGGAAACAAGAGTCAGGACTCGCTTGAGAAAATGGTAAACACTGTGGCTTGTCTCATTCGGCAGAGCATCCTGTGGTAGATTTTTATTTACTGACAGCAGCGGTAATTACTGTCAGTGATAGGCTGTTGCTGCAGTATGCTAGCTAAAGCCCATCATAAATGTTATGTATGTACTTGCGTAATAATTATGTGGTATTTGAAAGAATTAAGAATGTATAAAGAACACCTGTGCACTTAAAATGGCCACTTCCAGGCACTCTTGTAAGGACAAACCGAGGAGGTCTATAATACCTGGTGAAAACTATGTTAGCATAGCCATTCATCTCAATGGTATTTGCTTGGCTGGTGCAATAACCCTTGGAAGCATGAGATTTGAAACTTGCCATCTTCGCTCATAAAGCAATGAAGGTTTTCAGCCAATAATCTGAGCTTTAAATGTCATGTGCTTAATCACATTAACATGACATCATAACAATGCCTATAGACCGATGGCACAAGAAGGCGACCATTTCACACTTTTAAGAACCTAAAAAGAATTAGACTGTGGTAAAATATCTACTATGATAGAAATTATTAGATTATATAATCGGACTACATTTAATGGCTGACTATAGAAAAACTGACCTGAATACCTGATGAGGGTTAACAGTAGCATGCTAACCAGCCAAAACCTCAACACTTTGGGATAAACACAAAGGTTTCTTGTGTTTCTTGTCACTTATCTGAGATATGTCTAAATTCTAAATTTCTTGCATACACTGGAAAGGTTCAACCATCTCTAGTTTTCTGGGAAGGTTTCTAAGTGCTTGTCTTGGCTTTTTTTCAGACAAGTAGCAAACAAGCATTTTTTGGCATATATTGTATGACTCAAATCCCTTTAGCTGTTTTTAGTCTGAACAGCAAAATACCACATAATATCCCAATTTTACAAACCCGATCCACACCACATCCATATGTGGTTTGAAATCTGATTAAAATCAGGCTTTTGGAAATCCTTCATGTCTTAATGGTCAGGTCAGATTTCAAACATATATATATATATATATACATATATATATATATATATAAATTTTCGGCATTTGAGATACGTCTGATACATCTCAGGAGTTCAGAAACATTGTGAGATCTCATGATGGACATAAGCAGAAGCAAAGTTTACAGAGGCAAAAATGTCAACTTTGACAGTGCCCCCCCAAAAAAAACTGGATTAAAAACTGGAAATAGGAGCAGGAAGAGCAATGCTAAGGACTTCATCTTTCTTCATTTACTGTAAGCACATTGTGGGCCAAATACCAGCTGTATCACCACAAACACAAACACCATTGCTCAATTGGTTAACTCACCTAAACTGTAAATAACACAGGAAGGATAGCGAATTTACATAGATATTTGATTAAGACAAGCTCTATTTCTCCTCCATTACTCCTCTATTACATCTATTACTCCTCTCTGCTGGCCTGGAAAAGAAAGATACCTCTAAGTAATGTGACAATGCCATTGTACAGTACATGGTGATGGTGTCAGACAAAATATTGTAAATAGTACTCATCCCATGCATTTGAACGAATGGTGGTTTGTGGCTTCTAAAACACATATTTCACAACTTAAGAGCTCATGGCAGTTCTTGAAAGGTTTGCATATTATCATAATAAAACAAATTCTATGTGGAATAAAAAAATAACAACAGTATTTTACTTCCGGAACCCTACTGTTGCACTCTGACGGAAAAGTTCAGACACACCAAGCGTAACGTGAGTAAATTATTTAAAAAGCTTCCAGAATCATTATATGATGGTACACCCCACTTGCTTTTGAGTTGCAGTGGTATAAATAAATAAATGGAAAAATCAGTTGTGGCGTCAGTCTCTGACTCTCTGAGACAAACTCAAAGGGAGCAAAGCCATTAGAGTCTAAACAGGCCCTGCAAATATACAGGACAATGTCTGCCGATCAGCTCAATTAAAGGACACGGCATTGCGCATCAGGATCCAATTACTTGTATACATTTGGGCTATGTAAGCAAAGTTCATGTTCGTGAGCGACCTTGGGCGGTAAACTTTAGTCTTTCCACCCCAGAGTTATGACTAATTTACCTCTTTGATCTGAGTCCAGTTCTCTGTGGTGTGCTGGAATAATATCTTTAAAAGTCAGCCCAACATGCGACGGAGCTCTTTTTCAAGTATTAATGTTGAAGATGCCTCTGTAAATCAGTCATAGAATCTATTCTATCTTTCCAAAAAAGCACATGCTCGTTCCTTCTTTTCTTCCTACATTCTCCCACCCAGATACATGCCCACAACTTTGACAATCTGGTACAGTCGGGCCACTGTAGGAGTGCATATGTCTGATGGAATATGCAGCTGAAAAGCCAACATTGTGTTTACTGCCTTCCTGCTGGGGGTTACTGAGTGCATTTCCCCCCGCAAACACACTGTACATCTGTCGCCGTGTGTGGTCTCTTATGTACAAGGAAGAGTTTGTAAAAGTCTTTACTGTGTTTTGTGAGCCCCTGTTCCCAGAGGTTACTCCACCAATTGCACAATGTGGCTGTAGCACAGAACATAACGAACTGAGGGAGCTGCTTGCTTATTGTGTTAAGTGACTCAGCATTTGATAATGGCCAGTCATTTCACTGAAAGTGACGAATGAGGTGACATGAGCAAAGCAACTTCAATGCACAAAGTTGAGCAGAGTTCAGCCTTTTGCAAAAGAGCAGTGATGGAAAGTGGAGACTAATGGGAAGTGTGTGAACGAGACTCACTCCCGAGTCACACTGGAAGCGTAAGCAGAGCAGAGCTTTCACACTGGCAGCGTTTGTAGCGCACATCTAAACTGCAGCTAATGGTGTAGTTCTCCGATTTTCATCAGCTTGTCAAGTGCATTTGTTCACAATCGCAATGATTAAGGATGCACCGAATGTTCGGCAACCGAAATTATTTGGCCGAAAATAGCAAAAAAAACTCTTTTGGTGTTCGGCCGATTTAAGCGAAAAGACAGAATAAACTGTACCGAACAATGATGACGCGATCAAATAGCAACCAGCGAATAGTGAGAGGCTCGCACTGTTTATAATGCAGCACACATGTCAGCAGTGTGGAAGCATTACTATCGAAATAAAGTGTAACCTTGTAATTTTACTGTTGTTCTGTAAAATAAAATAAAAATTAAGACAATAATAATGATAAGAATCATTTCAACAGCTCTGTTAATACATTTATTATAATATTCACACACATAGTGTTCAAACGCAGCAGATCTGCTTGTTAACCAGGGTTCAAAGTCCAAAGCTCGAGGAAAATCTGCACTGAAACAGTTACACGTCAGTTGCTCAGTCACATTTTTATGAATTTTGACAAGGCATGTGACAATGCGATACGTGCTACCTGTTAAATATTTTTAAATTGTTGTTTTGTAATTGATTTTTTTCTTTGAAAAGCAAGACAAAACAGTAAAAGCACATTTTGGCTATTTAATTTATGCAATGGTGAAAAAAATTGGCAAAATACATGGGGAAAAAAACTCGAAAAACTGTTTCATTTTCGGTTTCGGCTTCGGCCAATAATATTCATTTCGGTGCATCCCTAGCAATGATGTTCTAATACAATGGTGTTGCATAGAACCATATAAGACGTTAACAATATAATATTGTGCAGTACAGTTTAAACAAAAAAATCTTCAACTTAAGCAATTCTTATACTTAAATATACTTATATACTCTTCTTATACTATAAATAGGCCTAGTTTTAACATGCCTTTTTGTGTTGTGCTGACAGTAGTGTGTTTTATGAAAACACAAAAACTTAAATGCTTTTATGGTTAAATTATTAGCAGTGCAGCAAAAATAGACTTAGCAGAAATACAGTGAAATACTGTTTGTGCTGCTTACACTTACATGTCTAGTGTGAAATGGGCTTTAAGAGTGTCTCGGCTACATTTAACACATTTCACCGTTTAAATTCATTCCAGAGATTTACCCCCCATGATCGGTGCAGAAAAAGCAGCACTTGATAATGCCTTAGTAAAGAAGGAAATTAAGTTATATTACATGATTAGACCACATCAAATTTCACCTCTGTGGTGCAAGAGCAACTGTTCTGAAGCGTAAAACATGTTGATAATACATTGTTGCAATTTGTGTTATTTACATTTTAAGAAGTAAATTAGCAAGGAAACAAACTGTGTACAGGGCTTATGAAGTTTAGACTTCCACTGTTTGCCTTTTAAATGTAGTTTTTTTTTTTTCTGAAGCGTAAAACATGTTGATAATACATTGTTGCAATTTGTGTTATTTACATTTTAAGAAGTAAATTAGCAAGGAAACAAACTGTGTACAGGGCTTATGAAGTTTAGACTTCCACTGTTTGCCTTTTAAATGTAGTTTTTTTTTTCATTATAACCCTGGAAGCTACTGGCAGTTGTTCACTTGTGTGACTAAGGATCCTGTTTGGTCAAGTGCATTTCATACCAACATGGAGGGAACCATTTCCGTTCTGCCGTTCTGTAGCTCCAGGCTGTCATATAGCGGAATACATGCTGCTTTTTTCGAGCACCGTAAACCAAGTTCTTTACGTCTTGGGCCAACATTATTGGCCAATTAAAGTCTACATCTGTTGCCGTTGTTACATATTATTTACAATTACAAGCAATCGTGCAAGCATTCATCTCAAATGTTTATATTCTTTCTCTGCTCTGTGACAGGGGATTGTGGGAGATCCCGGTGAACGAGGAACACCTGGAGAAAAGGGAAAGCTAGTAAGTATTCTAGTTGTCACCAAATCATGTTGCTTTAAGCAATCCGTTGGAAGATGGAAACATATTGATGGCACATACAGTACATATCTTTTTTTACTCTTCACAGGGTATTCAAGGCCCAAAAGGAAATGTTGGTGGGATCGGGGAAAAGGTTGGTTACTTGTCAACCAGTCATCATGACAAATACTTTGTTGACCAATAAGTTGAAAGTCTAGTGCTGATTCTTTTGAATATTTCAGGGTATAGTTGGTGATCCAGGTTTGCTAGGGCGAGATGGAGATACTGGGATTGAGGTACAGATTGTCCTTTCAGCTGAACTTTGTCAGGACTTCAGAAATAACTTTTTAATCTCATGGTATTACCACGTGCAGGCTTATCAAGGACCACAGGGACCTGAGGGAAGACATGGACAAGTTGGTGAAAGGGTAACCTAACACTTCTTGACATGTATTCATCCTCTGATACACACAATTGCATTTTTACACTGCTATTTAGCTACTAAATGTACAGCACCACAGCAAAGTTATGTTTTAGTTATAAGTTGTAAGCCTGAATTTGATGAACAAAAGACTGAGCAACACAGAACTCAAACTACCAAACAGTTCTCTCCAGTGAATCACTCTCTGAATCAGTTAGAACAGCTCTTTACTTACTGTATTGGAAATCTTTATTTTGTTGTTTATTGTTAAAATATGTAATTATATTAAATACATTTAAAAAGCTGAAAGAATCATCTAAGGAAATCAGCAATGGAAAAACTACTGCTAAAGTCCTTTAAGACTCCCATCTCTATAGAAGCATCTGTCTGATTAGCTGTAGTTGTGTGTGCTTATGTAACATGCTTGAATGTTTTACACAGGGTGAAAAAGGCGAACAAGGGCCTTCGGGGGAAATGGGCCCTCCTGGACTAACAGTAAGTGCTCGTGTGAAGAAATGACCACTGCACTGAGCTATATGTGACTTCTGTAAATACCACCTTAATATTTTACCTTGGAGTTTTATGACATAAAAATACACCCTGCCTTCTGGTAGATTTATAAAGTGCTATCATCTCCAGGGGCCGCAAGGTTACAAGGGCTCTGCTGCAAAGCCAGGAAGACCAGGATTTATTGGGCCCCCTGGAAGAACGGTGAGCTATATTCCAATTATTCTAAAGCTTTTGAAATAAAAGTTCATACCCTCCAAAATGCTAAAACATGCCATGTCTTCATAGGGGCACATGGGAATACCCGGCAGACCAGGCCCCAAGGTAATGATCTCTACTAAATTATGAAACTCAAATTTAACACAATTTTGCCTCATTAAAAGGGCATTTTGAATCCTGCAAGAGGCTGCAAACATATTATATGTAGGCTTATTATATATAAGTTCATCAAAGTTCTGTCATGCAGAAAACTCACTGCGGATGTATAAGATCATGTGTCAGTATTGGCTTAGTGTAGCCAGATATCCCAGGATCCAGAGTCTAAAATAAATTGGGAAAAAAATTAGGCCCACATTTTTTCAGAGTCCTGTTGGCATCTATACATATTGAATCACCGTGCTATGAGTATTCACAGTGACCGGCAAACCATCTGATGTGATGGACAACCATTTAAACACTTGTGAAATGTATACTAACACAACGTATCATCAGATTTGTTTAAGCCTTGACAAATTACTGCAATATCGTCTTGAGAAGGGGGAACTCACCTATTCACACAAAAAAAAGTGAATGGAGAAAAGCCAGAACACACCCGCCGTCATCTGAAAGCACAGAACGTGTTTTCACACTGGAGTCATGTCTGAGCAGCACAGCTCTTCACTGGTTAGCACAGCAGTTTTTGGCCGCTTATACGGTGACTTGGCTCTGGGTGCAGTCACACTACAAAGTGTGTTAGACTGTAACTGTTGGCTGCTCTGTTCTCATTCCAGCATCAGCCCTCCGCTGATATCTAAACTTCTGAGAAGATCTCCACACTCCATTTAAACCTGTCGCTGCAGACAAGACTTTTCATCAACATACAGTATATGAAAATAATGTAATATTCACAGGGGCTCTAGCATTAGATGGTGAAGGATCATATGGTGTTCATATAGAACCACGTCTTTTCCTTCGGTGGTCATCTGTTATCTAAACATTATTTCAACATCACATGGATTACTGATGACCCCTAACTGCTGTAAAGACACATTTACCAGAACATATTTTGTGCAATTTGAACAACTGGCCATCAAGGTAGCAGCCTGATGCTGTATTAACATGTTATATAAGGTAATATGTAATATACATAGTTAGAAAATGGAAGGTACTCAAAAGTTAGAAAATGGAAAGTATCGGTTTTGTGCCTGCCACTATTCATTTTCGTAAAAGAAATGGGACCTTCAGTCTAGAATTCAAATGTGCACCCATCCAGAAAGAATTATAAAAATAGTCATTGGTAGCAGAAACATTGTAGCAAACACTTGGAACATCATGTTCGTTGTGTAGAGCGTCTGTAGAGTAGTTGAGAGCCAGAATATACAAAATTAGATCTCAGGCTGATGTGTCAAATTCCAGGGCAATTTTCCGATTAGGACACATTACACCAAATGGGTTTCCTCTGATTTTTGATGAAAAGCATCACCATAATTTCAGGGTTTCCTCTCGCAGCACCTTGACAACTTATTTTGAACTACAAATCACATTTATTGGATCAAATCCACAAGGCAATTGCAAATGTTGCTTTTGTATCTTCCAGGGTGACACTGGCATTCCAGGGGTCCAGGGAAGCAAAGGGGAGAAGGTAGTCGTTGACTCAAATGCATCTCATTTCCTGTTGACACATTTCCATTATCATGTGGTTCTAGTTTCTCACAACGCCACATTGTTTCCACAGGGTGCAAAGGGAGTCAAAGGACCTAAAGGCAGGGTAAGACTGTCTCAGAGATTGTTCACATTTCTGTTTAATTAACACCATGGAGATGACTTCTAAGCATTAGCAGCGATGGGTCTGGTCTGTCCACAACTGCAGCAGAAATCTAGTTGGATTACTTTTAGAAAGCTAGTTTTGGAAAGACACAACTAATTGCCACATCAGCGTATTGTTTGAGTTCCATTTTGTATTTCTTTCCAGACGTTCTGTCGAGATATCATTCAGAAATGTGTACACAGTATAAACGTGAACTTGCTTGTTTATGGGTGTGTTTGTATTTGTTTGTTTTCCAGGCAGGAGACGCCGGTGTGCCAGGGCAACAGGGAAGTAGAGGAAAGCGAGGCCCTGCTGGAGAATCGGGTAGAAAAGGCCCTGTAGGCTCCAAGGGAGTGAGGGGAGACGGTGGTCCAGTGGGCTTTCAGGGCCCACCGGGCCCACCAGTAAGTCTGAAAATCCAACTCACAACACATAACGGATCTTTTTCCTGTTGCATGCTATGGTCAGAAACAGTACAAAGAGGAAGAGACTGACATTTTGAATTAGAGAAATCATAAGACCTGACATGCAAGATATGAAAAGAAAGTCTGGTCCCTTTCATTTCAAAGAGCCAGTCAACTTATTGCTTAAAGGCACTGCCTCGTCTTACTGCTCTACAATGTGCAAGGGCTGGACAGACTGGAGACAAAATATGTCTTTTTAAGCCAGATTAAAAATGCAACCTTTGATGATATACAGCGTTGGTGACTTTAGATGTTATCTTACTGAAACATAAGCAGGGCTGGGTATCGCCAACACATTACAATACACTGCAATGCATTACAATATCATAATCGGGGCATGATTGAAACTGATTCTCTGACCAAACATTATTATGTATCGGCACGCAGCTCTCTCTTAATTTTAACAGATATAATAGAAGCTGTGTTTCCATTCCTATTATCTAGACAGAAAATAGCTGCCTGAGGGACTTTATGGACTTTACGCTATGGTCCATAAGCAACTGAGGGTGCATAAGTAAGCGAAGGTCCATAAGAAAGGCGAAATTCAACCTTTCCTCCTTACTTAAGACTTAATGAATGTCTGTTTACGTTTGCATTTCACCGGCCGACTAACAAGCATCACCTTCAGACAAAGCCTTCAAAGCTTCTGGGAGATTCAGCATTTGTGGCACTTGGCGTAGCATGCATGAAATATGTGGTAACCATTTTGGTGTCAAGATCGCTAGTAAACGCTTTCTCATTAGTGCAGCTTTCTCTGCTGCTCAGGGCAAGGTTTTCATTTAGTGTGGCTGTAAATCCATAATGAGGCTGGTGAAATATTGTTGGCCGTATTTGTTTCTCCTTCATTACACAGCCACCCACGGGCGAGAAGTGCTCTGATCTGAGCTCCATGTTTCAGTGGTAATGATCTCTTTCTTAGGGCCCCACTCTTCCTGCTCAACATGTTATCGAGGTCTGCAAGAGGGTGGTGCTGGAGCAGATGTCCACATTCGCCAACTCCGTGAAAAGGACTTGTGCAGCTGTGTGCCCGCTCTATGGAGACGTGCCAATGGGCGCTCCAGGTCCCCCAGGACCAAAAGGACCACCTGGACCTCTAGTAAGTTACCCACCTCCGAGAAGAATAACCTCACAACAACCCTGGAACAGTCTTAATTTTGCTTGGCCTGGGAAACAAAAGGCATTTAGACGTAGTTTGTTTTAGACATCACAGTTAGCACATGTTAAACCTATTTTTGCCATAGTAAACTAAGGAAGAACATGGTCCATACATCAACTTTCTTCTAGGTCAAGTCTGATATGTACATAGTGTGAAGGCCTCTGGAGAGCGTGCAGCAGTGTTTGGCAGTATAGGTTGGAATTAAAACATTCAGAATTTCCAAGTCCCCGTGAAGACAAATAGGAAGTCACAGACGAGGCACTTGCTCTGTGTTGAATGTTTTTTGGAGAGAATCCCACCTTCACCGGAGTGGAAAGCCTTTCCACATTTCTCAAGCAGATCTTTTTTTCAGACTTCTTGAACATTTTCACTCGAGAGGCCCAAAGGCGAATAAAAGTTCACAGAGCCTCAAATTCAAACATGTAAAACGTAAAAGGTTGTAAAATTGAGGGTTATGAAAAAAAAAACTGCACACGGCGTAAAGAGGTTTTCCTTTCAGCATAGCAAAAAATCTACAGACACTTTGATTCTAGAATTCTAAAGGGATCGTTCACCACTATCATTTACACACCCTCGTGTCGTTCCAAACCAGTATGACTTTCTTCCTTGGAACGCATAAGATGTTTTGCAGAATGTCTAAGCTACTATTTTCCAAATAACAAAAGTACACATCTGCCAGTGGCTGTAAAGCAAAAGTTTCACAAAAGTTTCACAAAAGTCTCTTTGTACCCATGAGCAAGGCTGCTCCAGGGGGACCACAAATGTTGCTTTGGGGAAAAAAGTGTCTGCTATATGACTAATTACTAACAAACAAGTACATTTGCAACTATTTCTGCAAATACCTTTATTATAGGGTGATTCTGGCATTGATGGCCTTAAGGGAGAAATCGGGCAGCCCGGATTCTACGGAGAATCTGGTGACCAAGGAAGACAGGGCTCAACAGGTAAACCATCTTCACACTTTAGTCCAAACGGTAGCTTATTGTACCAATACAAGGGTGGTCCACCATGTTGGTGCCTTCACATTAAATAAATGCAGTTGCACTGATGTCAGATAGCATAACAAGTCACAAATAAAGAACGTGCCAAGATACAGAGGAACAATGATGCTTTGAAGGGTATCTGCCTGTATTGCTCTTGGCTGTGTTCGTGCATGATGAACGAGCATAAAAAATACTTCTCAGCTGGAAAAACTGCCCAAGTGAGCAGATATGACAGATTCACATTCGCAAGGAACTGTTGTCTTTTGGAACGGGATGTTTCATGCAATAAATATGAATCAGCGCCTCTGTCCTTAAGCAATGTTAGTCTGCAAGCATCAGCAGAAGAAAAGTATAGCTTTATTAATCATGAGCAGATGTGTAACTCCTCTGCCAAACTGCAGTAATGAGGCAAATGAGTATACAGGTGCAATTGAGGAATAGATCAAACAAAATACACACACTGCAGAATCTGCAAACATCTCATTAATATTTTTTAAAGAAGAGATCATAAAAAATTGCATGTTTTTTTTTTTTTTGTATGGTCATGAATAAGCCACAGCACATGACAGATGTTCAAATATAGTCCACAAGACAAAATAAAAGTTGAATTAAAAAAATACACCATACAAACCTTTACATTCACATGATTTTTCCTTTGTTTGTACTAAACAGTTAAACTGCCCACTGTTGTTCAGAAAATCCTCCAGGACCAGCACATTCTTTGGTTTTCCAGCATCTTCTGCATATTTGATCCCTTTCCAGCAGTGACTATGATTTTGAGATCCATTTATTCACAATGATGACAAACGAGGCACTCACATACTGCAAACATTCATTGATGCCCAAGAAGGTGGCAACGTGATACATTCAGAGTCAGGGACTTCTTTTCTGTTGTTGTTTTTGTTTTTTTAATGTAGTACTGCTCTTCAGAAGCAACATAGGATTTTTACATCTTTACAATAATTATATAATTATGAAATAATACAAATAATAATAATTTGCCTTACGGTCTGAGAAACTGGGGTAGGCTTCAGCAACCCTACAAAGAAAAAGCAGTTTGAAAATGGATGGTTCATTTATGTAAATTATGTTATTCTTTTGTCTTGTAGCTTATAAGTTAACATCTGTTACATGAAATTGCTTTGCACATTTTTTTTATGTCTCACTGATCTGCGTGTTAAAAAAGGAAGTACAAAAAGTGAACCATGGTGTTACACCATGCTCTAAATGCCCCTTTTTGGGTGGAAGCAAAAATATGCTGTTTTCCTGTGCGTCTCTTTAAATGAGCTGCTGCTCCCCGCCCCCCTTTCCAGAAGATGGCAAAGCTTTTACAACCTGTGCCTCAGATAGTCTGCCAACAACAAACTAAACATCTGCTGAAACTTCTTATATACGGTTTTCTGAGTGCACACACATGAAACGTGCGCACAGAAAGCCGGCTATCACACGGCGAGTGTTGCATGAGTACTAAATGAAGTTATCTTTTGTTTCTTAAACCAGTGGTGTCCAAACAGGACAATGCTGGCTTAAACTGTCAAATACATACAAGGTTATATATATATGTAACAAAGTTGTCAGACCCAATAGACTTGTAGTCAACATGTAGCACAGTTCCGCTTCAGGCAACCCGAGTTTGAGTCCTGGCTCCTGGACCTTTCCCGATCCCATCCTCCTCTCTCTCCCACTTTGATTCCTACAATCACTCTATTCTATCACATCTCAATAAAGGCAAAAACCATCTATTCTGCCAAGACCAAATACATGAACATTGCCATATGTGCAGTGTTGGGAAGGTTACTTTGGAAATGTAATAGGTTACAGGTGAGACCCTTGAGCAAGGCACCAAACCCCCAACTTTGTTGGTGTGTGTTTACGGTGTGTGTGTGTTCACTGCTGTGTGTGTGCACTTGGATGGGTTAAATGCAGAGCACAAATTCTGAGTATGGGACACCATATTTAGCCATGTCAATTCAATTCACTTTCACTAAATGTGTTTATGTCTGGCTGCGCAAATCATTTTACTCGAGACTGCTTTCTGAGTGAGGGACAATTCAAGGCAGGTTTTGTTAAAAAGTTAAAACTCGATGTATCAGTACCCATTGTTCATGATCCCGCTGCAGATTTCTGACTTTAAAGGGTTAGTTCACCCAAAAATGAAAATTAGCCCATAAATTACTCACCCTCAAGTCATCCTAGGTGTATATAACTTTCAGATGAATCCAGTCGGAGTTATATTAAAAATTGTCTTTGATCTTTCAAGCTGTTTAATGCCACTCAGCGGGTGTTGCATGCATCAGTCCAAAAGAAGTTAAATAAAAAGCGCCCATCCATAAAAAAAAGTGTCTCACACGGCTCCGGGGGGGG